CTTTATCTGGGGGGCGTTGCCATGTAGTTAACTTGGGCTCCTATCCAAGTCTTTTGCAGTCCCCTTAACTGTTCAGAAAGGCAAAGCTAAGGCCTGCGTTTGGAGGTTTGATGCTGGGCTAGCAGTGGGGATTCAGTGCCCTTCCGCAGCAAGGACAGATGCATTCTCCTACAGCTGATCTAGTTGACTCGGAAAGAATTTCAGAGCTTCGCAGCACAGAGGGCTGCAGGGCATGCCGCAGGCGCGAGGTGGGGGACAAAGATGGGGGCAGAGTTTCTCTGTGCAAAGGTTGGTCCCTTGGCTAGGCTAAGCCTAGGGCTGCTCACCAGCGCTAGCTGTGCCGTGGAGACATTCCCTTTGTGTTACATACACACGGCAGCGATTCAAACTGCTTGGGCAGATACCAGGGCTTTAACGCTTTACCCAGTTGTGGATGGTGTTCTCATCCCAGTACTGATTTCTTCTGCTCGTCACTGGAATATTTAGCAGCTGATATATCAGCTGTGTCGGTGTGAATTCTCTGATTTCCCAGAAATGGGGGATTGAATAGCTTTAAGTGGAAAGGTACAGCTCTCGGTTTCTCTTCCCTTTGTCCCTTCCCCATACAGGATGAAGTGGCGCACACGGTCACAGAGAGCAGAGTGCTACAGAACACCCGGCACCCGTTCCTGACAGTAAGTGTGGCTTGTGGCCCTGAGAGGGAGCGAGGGTCCGTGACTCAGAAATACCATCCCCAGAGCAGGGAGAGGAAGCATACCAAGATGTCTGGCATGACTTGAAAAGACCCCTTTTGATGCCACGCCGCCTTTGACAGTGTGGTTCGGCTGTGAGCAGCCCTCAGCTCTTGTTCCTCGTATGAGGCCTTTGGGATAGGATGTGTTAGGCCTCCAGCTTGCAGAAAAATCCCTGTGCTGGGCCCCTTGCTGATAGCTGTTGGAAGGTGGCCGTCTCCTGTGCGAGGTCCCTTGCACAGAGGGAGCCCTGCCCACCACTGTCGGGAGGCTCTCAGGGTGCCTCTGGGGAAGTGGCAGGAATTTAAGTGCAACTCTGGCTTTGCTATGGTCCTTCCGCCCTGGAGAGTACACAGTCTTTGATTGGACCAAAGGTCCTGTTTGCTCAGTGTCCCAGGTCTGACAGTGGCTTCCAGCAGCAGATGCCTAGGAAGAGAGCAGGGCAAGTATATAGTATGCTTCCTCCGTTTATCCTCCCAGCTGCTGGCGAGCTGCCAGAGCTGCAGCCCGCATAACCACACTTTCCTCTTTACAGTACCTCTAGAAACATAAAGCCGTGCAGCCCTCTGGTGCAGTTTCTTGGAGACTTTTTCTGTTGTAGGCACTGAAATACGCCTTTCAGACAAACGATCGGCTGTGCTTCGTCATGGAATATGCCAACGGAGGAGAGGTGAGATCTTCCATGCAGCACGGTAGGAGGTTGCAAATGAGACCAGTCAGACTGGGGGGGCCAGGCTGGGGGCACCAGATCCTTCACCTGAGCTTCGAAGGATGATGTCTGCAAGCAGTGGCTGAATTTCTATTCTCAGCTCATTTGTGGCAAGTTTATTCTTGGACGTTGCTGCAAGAATGGCATTTCACTTCCACAGACCTTCCCCCCACCTCAGTGATTCCCCTGCATATTTATAGCCAACAGTCAAATCCCCTATTGGCACGTGTTTTGCAAGGTCGAACGTGCTGCTGCCCTCTAGACCATTCCCTGCCCAGCTCTGTGGTCCCCTTTCCTCCCTGCAGGCTCTCTGCTCAGAGCTCAGCTTTCCCGCACTCAATTTTGCAAACAAGGCCGTTCCTATTAAGAACGAGATGTCCAGGTGAGGAACCAGGACCCTTGGGCTCTGTGCTTACCATCACCGCCTCATGCTCCCTCTCAAGGCAGCTGAGGTGTTGGGCACCATAGCATCATGCTCGCAGGCCTGACCTGTTTGTCCGAGGTGGCGCGATTGCCCTGGCAGCAATTGCTGGCTGATGGCTAGTTTCCCTGCTGCGATGAGTTCCGCCCTGGGATCACTTCCAGCGTTATTTTTCCGCCTCATAATGTGCTTTTCTTGCTAAGGGAAATGCAGATGATGGCACAGCACTGATTGTGCCCCTGTGTTTGTGAATCTCTCTTGATTGTGCGTAAAAAGCAAAGCATTATGTTCTCCTTGAGTGTATGTGCGCCGTTCTTGCCAGCAGCAGGGGTCTGTAAATATTTTGAATGTTCAAGGCAAGGAGCTTAGGACACATATGACCGCATTATCTGCGTACTCAGAGCTGCTGAGAGTGATTAGCCCTGGTTTTGCTGTTTTAAGCACTTGCTGACAGGCTACTGTTCTGTTTTCTTTTCCTCAAGCTGTTTTTCCACCTCTCAAGAGAGCGTGTGTTCACAGAGGACCGGGCCCGTTTCTATGGTGCAGAAATAGTGTCTGCTCTGGAGTATCTGCACTCCAGGGACGTGGTGTACAGAGACATAAAGGTACCGCCAAGGCAGGAGCAGTGTTGATAAACAGCAGCTTTATCCATGTCAGCGTTGACACTTGTAATTTTCATGGGACCATGTTCTGGGGTAGAGTCATTCCCAGCTCCAGGTGGAATCAGCCCTCGGAAACCCCTGAAAATCGTGCTAACAGGCCTCAAAGGATTTCCGGCTGATGAAACACCCCACGTGACTTACGTGGGCTGCCATATTCCCCTTTTGCACATCTTGGGCAACGAGGAGCAGTCAGTCAGCTTCTCTCTTAAGTGGGGCTGGGGATGTATTTTGGATGTATTGGGGCAGGAGGGAGGGCAGAGGACCAGTCCAAAGCTCAGAGCTGGAGTTCAGCTGCATCAGAGCGCCTTGCTCTCTGAACGCGCCAAGGTGAGGTGTAACCACTGTGCCCAGCCCTGGGGATTCACTGAGACCCATGTACCCTGTGGAGTGTTTGAGGAGCATTAATTTGAACGTGTTCTCATGCTCAGAGTTCAGTGTTCGGGTCTGAGTCTCTCTGCACATCTGCCTTTCAGCTCGAAAACCTCATGCTGGATAAAGATGGCCACATCAAGATCACAGACTTTGGGCTCTGCAAGGAAGGCATCACAGATGGAGCCACCATGAAAACCTTCTGTGGCACACCAGAGTACCTGGCTCCAGAGGTATTTGGAGCCTTTTCTGTGTCTTCCTGCAGCAAGGCTTTAATCAAAACCAGAACCCTATTGTGGTGTCAAAGGAGAGATCTTGCCCATAGACCTGTCGGGCTAGATAAGTTGTGACGAAAGTGTGGTATGGAGAGCGTTGGTTTTCCTGTGCTGAGCATATGTTGCTGTTTGTCCCTGCTGCTGTTGTGGGGGGAGCCCAGGAAGCTGATAAGCATGGAGGCTGTGGGGTGGCTGGAGCATCACCCTGCTCCATGGGGTGGCAGGGACCTGAGTTCTCCAGGTGCTTCTAGTTCCAGCCTCTTTCAGGAGGACTCAGTTTTCCTGGACACTGTCAGCCTTTTCTTGAATCCAAGGTGGGAACAAATGATAGAAGAAAGCTATTTTCTGGAAGGCTATTCCAAAGGCCTGAGAGTCTAACTTTTCAGCTGGGTTTTTAAAGGACAAGCCCTGCCTTTATTAGAGTAGTAGTCATAGCATGGTGATTGTATCTAGAGAAGGGGATTTACAGAAACCCTTCCCTTGCACCACCGGCGCTTCAGCAGGTTGGCTGTTCCCGCATTCATGTTGCTGGTCGGTTCTGTTCCCTGCGGGCTCACGAGCTCCCTCCCCTCATCTTCCCCACACAGGTCCTGGAGGACAACGACTACGGACGTGCTGTGGACTGGTGGGGCCTGGGTGTTGTCATGTATGAAATGATGTGCGGTCGGCTCCCCTTCTACAACCAGGACCATGAACGCCTCTTTGAGCTGATCCTAATGGAAGAGATCCGTTTTCCCCGGACCCTGAGCCCTGAGGCCAAGTCCCTGCTGGCTGGGCTGCTCAAGAAGGATCCCAAGCAGAGGTAAGGCTCTGCCGAGCAGAGCTGGGCACGTGGGTCCCTGATGTGCTACGGGTTTACCTGCACCAGCAGAGCTCCCATCCATCCCAAGCAGACTCTTGGCCCTGATACTGTCCTCAAAGTCAGGGTGCAGTTACTTCAGTGGAAGCAATTGGGTAATGGCAACTGAGAAAAGCTAGCCCTGTTTGCGGAAATCAAGTTTGAATCATGCCCTTGGTTAACCTGAAGCTGGCAGGCAGGACTGCGGCATTGCCACCAGTAGAGACACATCTCTGTGCCCACAGGCTAGGGGGAGGTCCCAACGATGCCAAGGAAGTGATGGAGCATCGCTTCTTCGCTGCAATCAACTGGCAGGATGTGGTTCAGAAAAAGGTAAGAAGGGAAGGAATCGTGACCGCTTTAAAGGGGCTAAATGGCAGCAGCGGATGTGGTAGATGCAAGAGCAGTATGGAGCGGGGCGTGCTTCTGCCTTGCTGAAAGCTTGTGACCCTCTGGAAGTGAATTTATCCATGGTGCTGTGTGGTGAGCCTGGCATTTCTTCTTCCTCAGCTGGTCCCTCCGTTCAAGCCACAAGTGACATCCGAAATCGATACGCGGTATTTTGACGACGAGTTCACTGCACAGTCCATCACTATCACCCCACCAGATCGATGTGAGTGCTTGAGGAGGATGCCCCAACCAGGCTGAAAGCCAGGGCAGCCTCGTAGGGCAGCTGCTTGGGCGACGTTTTAGCTCAGCTGAGCTAAATCCAGAGCTGGGAACTTGCTGTGTCACCTACATCCCTTCCCCTCATGCCGACAGGCATCTCCAAAGGCGCGCGGCAAGTACAGCCCTGTGACCAAGTGGGCTCAGCCTGGGCGGTGTGGCTGTTGCACCTTTATAAAAGCTCAGGGTCCCTGGCGCTGCGTGGGCACGGCACGAGGGACCCCAGGGCGTTCACAGGCCATCCCGACTGGCATCTCTGCTGCAGCCCCGCTCATCCTCCCTCCTTAGCCTTGGAGGACACAGCCCGTGCAGCACAGAGGGAGGGGGGAAGACTTGCAAATGCACCAAAAGGCTTCAGCAGCCTCCCCCCTTGTAACGCCTCTCCCATCCCCTGCTTTTCAGATGACAACATGGGCTCACTGGAAAACGACCAGCGGACACACTTCCCCCAGTTCTCGTACTCCGCCAGCATACGAGAATAACCAGCAGTGCTTCTGTGGCGGGGACTCGGGCTCCAAGGAGGGGAGGACGTTTTGGGGTTTGGTCACGTGGATTTCTCTTCGGTGCTGTAGTCCCCTGGGACGCCGGGGCTGCGGGGACAGGACCCCCAGCAGCCCGTCCTCCGACTCGCAGGCATCGTGCCACGTTGTGAGAGCGGCAGGATCGCCTTTTTGGAGCCATAATGCTGCAAACAAAGTGCTCTTGCTACGCGGCTCCAGCAGGCACCACGCTGTGCCTCATTCCCTAGTGTAGGACTGCTTTTATTTTATTACTTTTTTTAAAAAAAAAACAAACTAGAAGTGCTCACAGCTTTTTGAACAACCACACCCCACAGCGCACCCCTCCGTGGCCTTTCTCTTGCTGGAAACGCTGCCAGCCCCCGTGCCCCGTCGGCCCCGCCGCTCCCTGCAGGGAGCATTGGGCTCTTGCCCCAACGCTGGCATTTTGAACAGAGAAGGGGAGGTTTGTGGAGACAAATCCTGTGGAGCTGAAACCTCTCCCAGCTGAATTGCAAAGAGTAACTTCCGTTTCACCGAGGTATTTCTGCTGGATGTGACCCGATGCTGGAGCGGGGTTGCCTGGGGAGGGAGGGGGGTGAACCCCCCGCACCGAGACTCCTGGGGGAGGTGGGTTAGCTCCGTAAGGGCAGGACACTGACTTCATGCTGCAGATGCCGCAATCATGGTGCATGTCTTCTCTCAGCCTGTTAAACCTTCACAACTGTTCCCTAAGCTCAGCCTGCAAAGGTGACCCCCAGAGACTGCAAAACACACAGCATGCCCCGAAATCTGTGCCTCAAAGGGGAATGCCTCTTCCCCAGCACGAGTCCCTCCCTCGCCGGAGACGGCCAGCACAGCGCTGCAGAGGGGCGAGGAGGGGGCAGCCCCGTGCCCTCGGCCAGGCCCTGCCTCTCTCCTCCGCGAGGGTCGCTGGTGTTGGAGGAGAGCAGACCCCGCGCAGGACTGGAACCCGTCGAAGACGCAGACGATTGTAAAAGCAATAGTTTTTCTTCGTTGCCTTAAAGCAAGGGGCATTGGTTCTGCTGGCCTGCCAGGAGCAGGGCTGCAGGTCTGCAAGGGGGGGGGTCCTGCTCGCCCACCGGTGCTGCCCAGGCCGCGACGGCCTGGCACGGGACCCTCGCCACCAGCTCGGGGGCGACTGCCCTTCCCATCCCCGTGCCTGGCAGAAGGGCTCGACGCCGCAGGGCCAAGCGCCGTGGGGCTGGGATGCCGTGGGCGCCCCTGCTCGTCCCGCGGCAGGGGGCAGCC